CTCTCGGCCTCAGATAACAGAATGTGTATCACAGTCCTGCAGCAAAAATTCAGTGAGACCACATGATAGTTGGGGCCCAGTAAGTGTTGGGTTGTCATAAATGAATGGTCTTCAAAACATTTTAAAGTAAAATTTGCAGATCTTTGGTTAGCTGCAGGGTGTTAAGAGTTGTGGGGCTTCTCTGGCTCAGGTTTGAGAGATGCTGGTTCTAGGGCTGGACATTACATAAGGATGTGCAGTTCATTTTCACCCAAGCAAGGGCTATGAGGTACTGTGAAAACTACCAGACTTCCGAGATGTCTGCATTGCTGTGATGCGCCTCTGCTTTGCTATGCATTTGCACATGGTCTCCTGCCAATTTTTTTCTTAAGAACCCACTCCCAAATCCTCTCTGCATTATGTTCCTTAGAGCACTGCTTTGCATAAGAGTCTATTTCTTGGAAAAGCTCAACGGGAGAAAAATAGAACAAAAGGGGCTCTGATAGCTTAAGCATAAGCTATCCGAGTGTAACTGGCAGGGTGGGGGAAGATGAGGGAGCAGGCTGGTGCGAGGGGCACATGTCTTTTGGATGAGACCCAAATTTGCAGACTCCTCAGTGATGGGCTGAAGTCTCACATGAAAAATAGTCTAAGGCCTGATAGATCTGGGAAGAGCTTTTGAATCAGGGGGAATAGGCCAACTGCTTCTTTAACCTTACTACTCACATCCATCTGTCTCAGTACAAACTCTCATGGCCTGCCTGGGGTGGAGGCAGTGTGGGCACCTTGTTTGCTTCCTTTTTCAGAGGAGGCTGAAGGGACCGCCTGCCATCCCCATCACTCTTGATGGCATCTTGGATGGTACAGCACAGTAATACAGCCGTATAGTAAAGACTATAAAATTTAATATTCTGAATGGGCAGAATACTCTAGGACAGTTTGTAATTTGTTTCCTTAGCCCCTGTTGAGGTCCTAGTTTGCAGGCTAGTGCAGAAAAGCACGGAAAGCATTTGGCTACCCCATAACTTCTGTGTGTGTGTGTTATTGATCTTGTACCCTGGCTTGTAGGGCTGCACTTTCCAGGCACTGTGAGATAGGTGGTTGCATTGTGGTAAAATTTAGGGCTTGGACCTTGACAAAGTCCCACAGTGGAGTAGAGGGCTGGTGACAAGGCATCACCTGTTTAGGAGTATCTAGGCTTCACTGAGGCTGGGTGTGCGGAGCTCTGGGCTGTCAAGTACTAAGCTCACAAGGGTATCTCACAAGTCACCAGTAGATGGTGCTAAGACAACAGGAAAATGCCGGCGACTGTCCCACTGAGGCTGGAAAAGGATTTTCAGGTCTTCACACCGGTTTCTAAGCAGTTGTGCCTAGTTGCTGATTTTCCACATTTCCATTTGTGGGTCCTTAAGAAGAAAGTAGTACTGGAAGTAGAATACCCATCAGATTCTCTCATGAAAAGCATTATGACAACAATCTGATCATGAACTCTTTCTAAAGGATCCTCCAGGATCTTGAGGGCACTAGATGTATCCCCTGTTAAACACCTTCCCGGCAAGGTGCCAGAAGCTTTGGCCACTGATCAAATTCAATTTGCGGATGGTAAGCATAGCATTTCCAGTGGCGATAGGTCATTGTATGGTTTCATCTCTCAATGATGAACAATTTGGAATCTCACTATTGCTGCCCCTTAGGGCAGTGTGGGTTTCAGAAAGAACCATAAACTGAAAGTCAGATGTGTTAGGAGCCCACGCTCTGTCTCTTATCAGACAGTGGGCAAATGGCATCACACTGCAGAAACTCTACTGCTTTGTCTGTCAAATCAGGGTCATGATCCATGTGTGGCCAGGCTGATCTCCGAGGTGTGGAGTGAGGCTCAGCTGTAGGGTTTATGTTAACCGAAACTATTAAACACACATTATTCAACCATTAAAATTGTAGCTGTCCTAAGGAGTTGGGAGATTGGAGAACATGAAACCAATATAGAGATTCATAGATATGAAAGGTCTCAGCTATGACAACCAGGTGAGAACTGGAAGATGAAAATGTCTCTACTAGGGTTGCTGCCCTTAGGCCAACTCTTTTCCTGAAGCTATTTATGCCACCTATCCTTTTGGGTTCCAACCTCCAGGAATTTGTCCCTTGTAACTCCCCACATAGGTGCCCATACTCCCCAATATATTATACATATCCCCAACCTATGCATTTGTGATCCCCATCTCCTCAGAAGGCAGGTATCAACTCCAGTGGGTCTTCACATTTCCATGTGTAATATCCTGTCTCAAGAATATTCTAGGTCTCTAAAGAATTATGGCAGCCAAAAAGAACATAGGACATGGCAGAGAGAGGAAAGGGAATTAGTACTGGATCTCTGCTGAATGGATGACATTGAAGGGACAAGTCAGGGATCTCTGATCTTCTGAGAAGCACTCCCAGGAGATGAAAGGCTAGTGAGCCCCAGTCTGTTGGGAAGGGGGTACAGTCACAGCATGAAGTAAGGTTTGTGAAGCAGTCTTGCCCATGAGGTTATATAATTTAATTCAGTCTAAGAAGAAATACATTATTGATGTCATCATTCATTTTGTTCATTATTATATCCTCAGTACCTGGCACATGCAAGGTACTCAAAGATATCAAATGAATGATTTGAATGAATTTTGTGCTATGGATTATGGTACTACCTGAAAGCCAGGGCATGTACTTGATAATTTCTGAAAGCCCTTTCTAATCCCTCATAGTTTACAGAGACAGCCACTTGGGGCTGATTCTAAGTGACTGATTGGCTGATGGGACTTCATCGTTCCCACTGTGACCCTCCTTTTCACTTCTGACTAGGTATTCGGACAGAAGAGGATCCTCCATGAAGGCAGGAGGAAAGACAGTAATGTGAAATCAGAATAACAGTTAAGGGCCCATTCACCTTGAATTGTAATTCAGGCCCAAATGGGCTCCCTTGAATCCAAAGGTCCAAGGGCAACAGTAGCTGCCGGAGGTGGAAAATTGAAACCACCCCTTCAGATTTCCAGGACCCACATTTCCTACACACACACACACAAGCTGACATACATTCACACACAAGAGACACGTGTCAGTGCTCACATGGACTTGCCCCCTCACAGACACATACACTAGGAACACATGCACCACGCACTCAGATGCCACCTCACTTCTCCGCGGTTAATCTTCACCCAGAGACACGCCTCTCACACACATGAAGCCGCACTCACAGGTGATATCCTACCTCCGGGCTCTGATCAGTCTTTGTTTCCTTCCTCAGCCTCTCCTTTTCCCCTTCCTTTCCATTGCTCAGGAGGGGAGAATTTGGACAGGACTATGTGTTGAGGCGAAGGCAGGGGAAGGCAGAGGAAGATGTGCCCCAGCTAATGTGGACATGGGAGGGGACAGCTGGCCCTATCCTCACTTCAGACCAGCAGTCACCCGTGTACAAATTCTTAGTTGCTAAACACGGGGCTCTTTCTCTGGGGCTTGGAGCCCACCTCTGCCCCTCTGTTTTTTGTTTTTTCCTTTTTCTCTTAGTGGGATAGGTTTGAGAAAGTCAGTGGAGCTTATTTGGGAGTAAAAGATGGGGGTAGAAGGACCCTTCTGATTGTCAGGATTTTAAGAAGGGTAGTTTTAGCCGTAACTCGCCCTCCAGGGACGCATTATCTGGATCCCCTTCCAGGAGAGGAGGTGCAGGGCTCTGCTAGAGCGGAACCCAGGAGGCCGCCCCACAAGGGCAGGAACTCCGTGGGGCGCTGGCATCAACACCAGAGTGTGGAGTCCCCAGACTTCCTAGCCTCCCCCATGGGGCCTCCAGGGTGCTAAGTAGGGAGATGAGGAGAGGGTGCTGCCTTCTTCGTGGAGATCCCTGGCAGTGTTAGCCGAGCTTGGGAGGTGCGGAGAAGCGGCGACGCGGCCCTAGCGCGCGGCTCACAGGGCGCAAAAGGCCGGGACTCCTTAGGGCTGCGGGTGGGCCGGGTACTGCGCCAGACGCCGAGAGGGGCACAGCAGTGGGGATCCCTCTTTGCGGGACCGAAAGCGTGAGTGCGAGCGCGCGTGAGTGTGCGCCCCACGCCAGGTCCCCGCTCTCCTGCGGAGGCTCCGCCGCGGCGCCACCAGCTGTGCTTGCCTCTCTCTTCTCCGCGACATTACTTGGGGAAAGGCTAGCGTTCTTGGACCTTTGCGGAGGTGGCTTCTACCCTTTGACCAAATAAATCAATCAGGCAGACCAGCCTCACCTCCCAGGAACCTCCAGCCTTCCGGCCGCGTCCCCGCCCCTCCCGCCTCGCCAGCCCCTCCCCCGCTCCTCCGGGCGCTTCGCCAGCCCCTGCGCACGGCTGGCGCGCCCTCCTCGCCGCCCCCTTCTCCTTTGCGTCCTCCCAGCGGCTCGGGGGAGCGGGGCTAAGTGGAAGACGGAGACCCAGTTGTTAGTGAGGAAGTTCGGTCCTTGGATAAGTTCCGTGCCAGGCCGCCACCAGGCTCGGCGGCAACCTGTTCCTCCCGCGCCCAAGCGCTCGCCCGCCCGCCCGCTCGCGCGCCCGCCCTCTCCCGGCGCAGCCGCGGATCGCTGTTGCATGCTGATCCGGGGAGGCGGCGGCGGCGGCCAGCGCTCCGGGCGGATGCTGGCACTCGGGCTTCGCTGCTCCCTGGATGCTGCTCAACTTCTAGCCCAAGCGCAGGAGCTTTGAAGTCATTTGTCCCTCTCCGGTTGGATCGACTTCTTATTTTGATATTTTGGGCGTTGCGGTTTACGCAGGAACCTCAATACCGCTCTTCCCCCTCCCTCTCTCTCCGACGTTTGGATGCGTCTGTGCTGGCAGATTTAAAGACCCAAGTCTTCGCTGTGGAATTTCTTAGATGGACTTGCCTGGGCTGGCGTTATAAAGCATGTCACCGTAATCCCGTCCTCGTCTTTTCTGTTTTTTTTTTCTTTTTTAAAAGAAAAAGTTCTTTTGTTTTCATTCCTCCCTCCCCACCCCTCCCCCCAACCAATAAATCACCAAACTGTTACCTAGCTGGCCGGTGCCTGCCTCTCTCCCTGAACTAGGTGGTGCGTCTGCCAGAAGAGGAGCTATGTTTGAAGAGCAGCCTCCTCCACCCCTTTGCTCTCTGGCCCCTGAACACCACACACTGGCATTTTGAAAAAAGCAGTTGCCTCCAGAAACTGAGCACCCCCGAGCCCTACCCCCAGCCCCGGTGTTTTTTGCTTCTTGAGGAATGGAGCTTCGCAGAGGCTGTGTTTAGATTCAACAGTTCAGAGCGGCGGGGCTGCAGCTGCCGCCTCTCCGAAGAGCTCGCGGAGCTCCCCAGAGGCGGTGGTCCCCGTGCCTGTCTGGATGCGGCTCTGAGTCTCCGTGTGTCTCTCTGCTTGTTGCTGTGTGCGGGTGTTCGGCCGCGATCACCTTTGTGTGTCTTCTGTCTGTTTAAACTTCAGGATGGCTCGCTTCGGGGAGGCGGTGGTCGGCAGGCCGGGGTCGGGCGATGGAGACTCGGACCAGAGCAGGAACCGGCAAGGAACCCCAGTGCCGGCCTCGGGGCCGGCGGCCGCCTACAAGCAGTCGAAAGCGCAGAGGGCGCGGACTATGGCTTTGTACAACCCCATTCCAGTCCGGCAGAACTGTTTCACCGTCAACAGATCCCTGTTCATCTTCGGAGAAGATAACATTGTCAGGAAATACGCCAAGAAGCTCATCGATTGGCCATATCCTTTCTTGCCCACCATAACTCCTCTCTCCCCCTGTGCATTTCTTTGGGTTGGGGGCGGGGGAGGGACGGAGCATGGAGTGTATCCCCTACACCTTCCTGGTGCCAATTTGCCCCTTTGCTGAAGTGCACTCTTTACTTCGGTGCATCTAAGGGGCAAGCTTGGTGCTGTGGTTTGAGCATTAGTGTTTTTCAAGGTAAGACTTCTTGGTTTTTGTTGTTTCCTATGTGGAAATCTCTAGTGTCCCTGGTTGCGTCCCTTTTTGGGCTGGGCTTTTGTCTGATTTCCCAGCCCCCTCTCCATCCCTGGACCCTTCACAAAGTGCACTCTACATAGATTGGGTTACCCCTGATCTCAGTGCTTTCTTTCATAATCAGTTCTCCCTTTTCTCCCTCCCTTGAAGCCCAGCCTCTCTGCCCCCATCCCCTCCAGCTGGGGAGACAACTGCACCGTCAAAGGAAGTTTAGGCTTCCTGAGGGAATTTATCAGTTCAAAAGCTCCAAGGCCAAAACCCTGTGTGCTAATAGACAAATGAATAAATAAAATAGCAGTTTAGCTGGGGACCCAGCTAAACTCTGGGGACTAAGTTTAAGTTCCACTGAAAGCAGAGTGAATGAATGAATGTCAGGGGAGGTGATCTCAATTGCCATAGCCCAAACTGCTCAAAGTTGGAATACTCTTCTCAGCCAAGGAAGAGCAGCTCACCAGGGCCCAGCCTCTCCTTGGTCCTGAGTTGGGTGCCCTTCCTTCTGTGCTTGATCCAGCTGGTTGCTGTAAGACCCAGGATCCAGGTGGATCCGCTGGGCCTGAATTTATTAGAGGATGGCCAGAGGTGTGAAAGCGGTCTGTCTCACTTTAGCTCCAAAGGAACTGCTCTCCACAAAGCTTGTGAGGGCTGTCCCTGATGGTGGTGGTGTCAGCATGGAAGGAGCTTCTTTGCGGGTTTAATCAAGTGCACCAAATGCAGGCTGCTGATTAGGCATCTCACTGCCTTGTTCTTCACTAAGGATTTGGATGCCTGGCAAGGCCATTAGGAATTGTGGGTGGTGGGCTGGCGAAGGCGATTAGTAGGGGATTAGCAAGGAGGCAAGCTAGTGGTGTGGTGTTACATATGGGGGTGGGATGGAAGAACAGGACTTTGATGCTTGTGGAGGGAGATTTGGGAAGGATGCGCCTTCAAATGTGGCCCCTCCTCTTCTTCCTTATCTTCCCTTCTCCCCACCCCTGCTTTCCAGGTGTGCAGCAGTGAGACAGCTAGGGCTGCATTGGGTCTCCAGTATTAACCAGGCATGCAGCTTGCTTCCCTCAGGGCCTGGGCATCTCTCTACTGCCCCCATCCCGGTCTCTGGCCTTCCCCTCCTCCTTCCCTAGTTCCCTGCTTCAGCAGCTCTGTGATTGGCTGGCGCCGGGTGCTTCTAGGCAGCACCCCTCATTAGAAACGAAGGAGCATCTCTAAGCAGATATTCCTCCTGCTGCTGTTCACATCCTCCCACAACCACCCCTGGCCGGGGTTCCTCCTCTCCCCTACCTTTCCTGCCCCCACTGAGTGATCCAGGGCCATACGCTGTCTTAATTGAATGGATCTAGCGTGGGGGGTTTGCGAGGGGGAGGGGTCCGGTCCTGCAGTCACGCCTGCCCGGGCTCTGCACAAAGCGGACAGATCTCATTGTGTTGCGTGCTGCGGCTGCAAATACTCCTCTAGGCAGATCTCTCCAGATTTCCCCGCTGCTCCCTCTCCCTCGCCCGCCTTCTACACTTCTCTAAATTTTCCATCCACCAGGTGCTGCCTTGCTGTGCCCCTCTCTTAAGGGCATGTTGATTCAGACAGGCGCCCTCCCGTTTCTCTGCGGTAGACAAAGCCGCCCAGCTGCCCCGTGGGTGGCGAAGTGTTCCTGCAGCCATCCTTGGCACCTCGGACAGCGCCACCAAAACTCCCTAGCCGCCTGGGGCTCCCTAGTCATGCGGGTTCAGCACCCCGGATACTTCCGGCTGGGCCCAGGCTCTTGGGGTGGGAAACCAAGCACGTTTCCTACAGCACGCGGTCGGTCGCCTCTTTTCACGTTTTTTTCTTCCGCTGCAAAGACACCGCCTTCCCACCAGGTGTGGTGAGCGCAAGGTGCGGCAGAGTTTTACTCCTCCCTTTCCTTGTCTTTGGCCACAATGGACCAAAGAAAGTCAAAGGAGAAATGCTCCAGGGAATTGATTTCAGCATCATGCTCAGCCCCAGCCGTCTCTTCCTTCCCCATAGTTGGAAATTTCTCAGCGTTTCTGTAGCGTGTAGGCTTTTGTAACAGTCTTCAGAGAACATCAGCTGAGGTGTTTAGTGGAGCCCAGTTGGAAAATTTAAAATGTGCCATGTTTGGATTTTTTTCCTGGCTGTACAATAGGTGACCACGTGAAAACAATGGCTTTTCTCTAAAACACGTTGAAGTTCCTAGGTTCCTTTTCTGTTCCTTTCTAAACATCCGGCTTCTGAAACATCTAGTTTTTTTCTTACTGAGTGGCAGTATGGGTAGGGGTTGCCCATAAAACTTTGGAGCTAATCTACCTGGGTTCAAATCCTAGTTCCTCCACCAGCTCTGTGACCTTGAAAAGTTACTTCGTGACTGTGACTCACTTCCCTTATTGGTAAAATGAGGATGATATTAATGAGTTACTGGGAGAATTAAATGAGTTAATATTAATATATGTCAAGTGCCAGAACATTACCTAATTACCCAATAAACGCTAGCTATTTTTATTAATGGAGTCTTTCAGAAGTTTCAGCGCTGAGGGAGGGGTCTTAGTTTGTGACGTCTTCTAGATTTTGCCTGGCTAAGAGAGCAAGGAGCTGGATCTGTGTCACCTGCAAGCTTGTTAAAAATTCAGAATCTTGGACTCCACTTCAGGTCTGCTGAATCAGAATCTGCATTTTCATAAGATCCCCAGGTGCTTGGTATAGACATTAAAGTTTGGGAAGTGCTTCTCTGCTCTTTGTAAGGGCCAAAAAGGCAAAGGACAAAAAGGCAGGTTGTTTAGAAAACCTGCCACAGACCTGCTTCGTTCCTGTCACACTCCCATTCTGCGTGTTTGTGGATTTTGATTGCTGGTGCATGACGACACTTTTTGAAACTATTACTGGCTGTAGAAAGTCACTGTAGGACTGGGAGGATGATGTGTCCTGCTGTGTGCTGTTTTAGTTCGTGCTCCCTTCATGGTGCGTATTACTGGTCTTTAGTCAGATTGGCCTGAGAAGACCAATCAAGTAACAGGAATGCTTTAACTTAGGCATGTAGGACCCTCTGACTTTTGGGTAGGTGGGTAACCTTATGGAGTTATTAATGGGAAGGTCTAATTCTCGTGAGAAGAAATGCCTAGGATAACCCAGATTTGGCATGAAAGATGATAGCAAGTCAACAGCCCACTCTGAATGTGTTTCATTTTTCTTGGAAGCTACATCTGCATAGGGAGATAATTTTATTTTCTTATGGCACTTTCTTCTGCAGTGGATACCATACCCTTTTTGAAAATGCTAATCTGATTTAAAATGTGGTATTACATTCTACATGTTTCCTTCTTTTCTGTTTTGCTCATCTAATAGAGCTAACCAAAGGGTAGATCTGTTAGATGAGCTCTTTTTCTTAGGCAGTTGGCTGTCCTGAATCCCCTCCCACGTTCACTATGCTGCATGCCCAGGGCTAGTTACCCTGTAGAGATTCAAGATCTCTCTCTTGTATAGTATGCATGACGCACACGCTTGTTTGCACTTTTCCAGGTCAGGGGGTTGAGGGAAGAAGTGTATATCTGACTTGGAGACTCTGTGCCATCCATGGGTACTGGGAGAACCCTACATACACGCACACGTGGTCATCTCAGCAGGGGAGCACACGCTTTGCATGGACATGAACATGATTTAAAGTAGAAAGATCAAATGTGTTTGTAGCCACTGTGATGATAAAGCTCATTACATGAACTTGTGGGTGTTTGCCCATGATTTCTTATTGTAGAAAATTTCATCGTATCCCCAGAGCACTCTGGCTGTGGACCAGAGGTTATGTGTTTTATTATAGTGAATTTACCATGGTAAATTGTCCATTTATTTTGGAGGATCTGGGTGAGGCATGCTGAAAGTTTCAGTTCTTGACTCTCCCATGGTGGCATCTACTTTTCTCTTGCTTTGGTTGCCTATAAATATACAGCATGTTGCAGGATAGTAGAATGGAGTCCTGGTAAGAATTTCACATTTGATGTAACTCAGTGAATCATGAGTCAGGATGCCTTCATTAGGGCAGAGGGTGGCAGCTAACAAGGAAGAAGTCTGTAATTACATCCTATGATCGGCTAATGCAGAGAGCTTTCCCATCTCCCATGTACCTGTGCATGGATGCCAACAGCGAAACCCAAGCCAACTGCCATTGGCCCTGAAACTCCAGGATCATGGTTTTCATTTTCTCAGGCTCCCAGGATCCCAGGACAATCTCTGAATTGCTGGTTGACTTTGCCCTTGCTATGAGGTATGGGCAATGTTTCATCTGGAAACCAGGCCACGACTTGTTGTGGGGACTATTTGTAAGTGGGATGCAGCCTGGAAAGCAAGTTGGAGTGAAGGAGTTTGACAGAAATGAAATGACTGGAGGAGAGAGACAAAAATACCTCAAATGTGATAGTTTTGTCTGTTGGTTTGCATATCATTATTTCCCCACTTCCCTCCACTTGCTTTTTCTGCAGTAGGCGCAATGCACACTATGAATTAAAGGAGGAGGAGGAAAATAATGAGAAAAGGCCTTCTTTTTTTCCTTCTGCTGAAAGATTCAGACTCTGGAATTATTGGCTCCATCCAAAGTTGCTTATATCTTTTTAGCTATTGCTGTACAAAATGTAGGTGTTTTTTTTTACCCCCCTCAAACTCTGCTTCTTTCCTCCCTCTTGATAGGAACATCTGGTTTCTTTCAATCTTCATACTCTCAGTTTCAATAAAACCGAGTCAAGCTTTGCTCAGTGCTCAGAACTTTTGCAAA